CCGATACCTAAAACACATATTGTAGATACAGTGATTAATACAATAATTATAAATTAACCATATATTTTAAACAAAATATTCTTTAAATTATACAATGTTATGAAAGTATATTTTTTTCAACAATTTCTACATATTTTTCCATTTTTATTGAACAAATTTGCAAAACATATTTCATATGCATTTTTAGCATGTAATCACCCTTGAAAATACTTTTCATTTAATAAGGTATGTTTTTACTCAAAATAAAATACTTTTAGGGTCCTCTATCAAAAATTTTAAATGAATTCTTTACATAAGAAAAAACATTTTGAATGATTATAGAGAAATTAAATTTTATGTGGTTGAGAGAACAATTTTAATGATCAATACAACAAATCAAACGTTGAAAAAAGTAGAACACAATATCAATTTAAATTATGATTAAATATAAACTTCAAATAAATGAACAATAATAATGATATGAAGATTAGTAAGCAATGAAAATGAATTCTTTTATAACAAAAGTGACTATAAGTTATGAATCTATAATTACTAATAGCATGAAGTTTTTAATGAGATATAAGTGTCAAATCTGTAGAATTGAAAACGCTTTTAGTGATTTTTAAATTTTTGTAACAGTCTTACTTCTGTATTGAACTGTTAAATAATTATAATTTTATGCATCTTGTTTGTGTATCATGGTACATTTCATTCTTCACAAATTTGATGGATTTGATCACATATAATTATAGAATTTTATTTTAAACTATGAAATTTTTATAATTTGTATTTATTTTTTCAATGCTGATTTTTATCATCAAATTTTGATGATAAAAATCAACATTGAAAAATTAAAATACGATATGTTAAGAATAATTACATCAAAGTATAAAGAATGCTTCTTCAAATAAATATTTTATACTTTAAGATTTCATATTTGAATATCATAATATTAGAGTACAATTTTGCTTTCATATCGGTATAAAATTATGAATATTTCCAGAATTATTTACTGATGGATTTCAAAATAAAATAATTAATGAAATATTAACTTACAATCAATTTAAAAATTCATTTTTAATTTTTTTATAATCGATTAGTCTTAGGTAGTCAATACATATAGTATATTTGCGTTGATGACATTATGTATAATATAACAATCAGCCAGTGATATGATTCTTTAATATGTATTTGTTAGATGATGATTAGTATGCATTGCTTTACTCAATGTGTTGAAGTTATATAATAAAATTCTGTTACGATAAAAAAAGTACCTTGCAAGCTACCCCAGCTATTTTTGTGTCCAGATGCTTAGGTTGTATGTTGCTACATTAACAAAATTAATATAATAAACTTATAAAACATATGTTTGAATGTATAAATATATACACAACAAGCAGACGTCTTAAGTACAAAGATCATATTCAAACCCATGATTTCAAATTCACAAGGATATTTGAAAGTAATTATTGCCTACACTAGTGATGATTATCCATCTCATTGGTATAATATTGTTTTAAATGATATTTATATTAAAAGAATATAGAATGCTACTAGAATTAAAAAAATAGTGAATTTAAAGATTTTGTATTAATATACTATAGATTGGTCCAGAATGTGATGTAGATTCACAAGTTGGACTCTATCAAGTTACAAAGTTTAATCTATAAATAATCAACATTTAATAAAAATGATTATTTTTATTATATCATAAGTAAAATGCTATATTGCATTCAATATAAAATTATATATTTAAATAAAAGGAATTTTTTAATACCTTACAAAAATTATTTATTTGATTAATTTTATAAAATTGTCAACAAGTATTCAAATTGGATGATTATAAATGTTTGTTTTTATTTGAATACAACTAGTTATAACAATAAAGAATGTCAAGTGAATGTTAACATAAAATGTATATCGGATACTACATGAAGATGGCAAAATGACAAATATTATTATGATCATGATAAAGAAACGAAATTCAAATATTAAATTAATGTGACGTCAAATTCAAGACAAGATAAAATTGATTTTAAGAATTTTACATACATATAAAATATGTAATGCAAAAAATCTAGATTTTTACTCTAAATGTTTTTTGATAATACAAAATAAAACAATATTTAAAAAATTTATATCAATGATGAAACTTTTACATCATAGAATTCATTTTTCTATTTTTTTGCAATAATTGGTTTGATAACTTACAATAAAAAACAGATTATTTGACCAATGCGGCAATTAAAGTAAAAAGATTAAATTTTTTTTTTCAATTTTTTTCTTAATTTCATGTTTAGATGTAATATATAAAATACATGTTTATTTCAACAAAATGTTAAAAGATATCCATGAAATATTTAATTCAAACCAATATGTGAGATTTGTCATTTATACGCAATAGATTGTAATGAATATAAAATACGTGTCATTAGCAAGACTAGTGTAAATATATTTAATCAATATTCAATTTTAGCTACAAATGTTTATGAAGAATAATTGTAGCTGGGGTTGATCAAACATTTATGTTTTATAACGATAAAATTTATAAAAGTCAAATACTTATATGGTCTCATATAAAGATGTCATGCACTATGATTATTTTCAAGATGTTAAATATTGTACGTCATGTGAATTGAGGCAGTGATACATCAATCATGGTGAATGTGATTAAGATTGATTGATAAAGTTTGTGAACTTGTTATACATTTTTTAATAGTTTTTAGTTCTTTCTTTGAAATCCATGATAAGAGTAAAATTACAAGTATATTAGATTTTGCAACTTGAATTTTTTAATAAATAATGATATATTGAATATTTAATTCTGTCATTTAATTAAAATTTTTTATCAATGATTGTTATTTCAAACAAATTGCTGACATACACTAAAAATTGTTATCTATAATTGATTAAGAATATATTCTTCAAGTTGGAAAAAGATGTCGGAAGACGTCAATATGTGAGTTTGAAACCCCAAAAAATGAATGATGAATTGATGTCGTCAACTTTGAATGAATTCAAATCATAAACTATGTAAAAAAAGCAATTTAAAACTTGCGTATTATCAATTCAGTTTAATAAAAGATGACTTACACAAAAAAAATCTATGTTATTCTGTTGTCATTTTTGCGAGGAAGAAAAAATAATTTAACAGTATATGAAAAAACTGATACATACCATAATCTAAGGCAAAATTTGCAAGTGAAGAAGTTATAATTAGCATACAATTTCAAAATCACTCATTGAAGAGATATGCATAATACAAGTCTTATTTTGCAGTACCTTAGCTGTCAATCTAATACCATACTCCTGACGACACAATATCGATGTTAAAATCTTGCCAAGGCTTAATTTCCTTACAATGAATCATTTTGATTATGTGAAATTTTAGCTGTGCAGATTTTATTTCAAGATTTGTAATTTTAGCAGATGAACTTCATACTTACGTTAGATGAATATTTTAGAATTAATGTGAACCTGTTAAATAATTTGTTGTGTGCTTATTTCTTAGTTCTTTATAACACATGTTTTCAAGTATTTCAAACAGAAACATCAAAGGTTTGCAAGAGAATTTGTTACTTTGATATATTTTCATAGTATAAGCATCATGTTACAAATGTAAAAAAAGTGAAAGATGTTGATAATCTTGACTTTTATAACAACAATGTTGGCTAAATATATATGCTAATATTCAAATATGTCATTATGTCCATGTTGACATTACTGTCAAAATCAAAATAACCATGTCAACACAAACAGGTTAGATTATGTTTACACAAAGTTTGTAAACAGATGTCGTGTTTCATACCAACAGTATGTGATTTTGATGTAATTATTGTTCATACTAGATTTGTAGGTAAATCTGAACATGTCTGGGATGATATTTAGGCATTATTTTGACTGAGGTTGAAGTTTTCACGTGAAATATTCTATTAAATTTATCTTCCCAGGAAAGTAAGCTTGTGAAATTTGATAGTAACATTTTTGGAATTTCCGATCTACAGTTTACGACAGTAACGTGGAAATTGGATGTGATTGCTACGAGGATTATGATTTTGTGTAATTAACTGTTCCAGTACTTTGTTGCTTGTCACGCTTAGTTCTTTTTAGGCATATAAGATAGTGTGAATGTGTTGTGGTGGAGAAAACTAAATGGCCTTTCATACGAAAGCCGGGCATTGTGTCTCTAAATGGAGGACGGAGAAGGCGGAGACAGTACACGTGCATGTTGAGCAACTCTGTCTACTGGTTGTATGGTCATGCTTTGTCACGGATGTGGGTCATGATTGTGAGTATATATTTTTGTTATAGAATATTTATGCTTAGATGCAATTACAATCCTGCACTATAGAATGAATACAAGTTGGCGACTCGATCATGATCAATGTACGAAGAGGATCAGAAGTACAAATAATAATTTTAGAGTTCAAGTTGTCGACAGTTTACTCAAACGAATTAGTGTAAGGAAGAAATTTGTTGCCCGCGTTTATGAATAGCTAAGATTAATTGTGACGAGAAAACGTTCAACACTTCCTTGCGTAATCAAGTGTTACATGTATATATCATACAATACAAGGGGATATTCAGTTCCAAAACCTAGGCACTTTTGAAAATACAAACCGTCGATAATACAAACACGAAGTGCATTCGATGATGGGTGACCGGAATCACGAGATCCGAGGATGTCTGTCCGATTATTCGAAACTACGAAGCGAGTCGCAAAGTTTCCGAAACATGAGGCTCCAGCGGTTCGTCTGGAGGGGACAGGCAAGAAGAAGGCGGAGCATCCAGAAATCGAAGGGCGGATCGACCGACGCGGCCGGTGAGCGATAGATGGGCCTTATCCAGTCGATCCAGCCACATCAATTGTCCAATGGCCTTCGATGACAATGGCAGGGCTCGTGACGTGGCATCCCCCGAACGCGCCACGCCTACACAGCAGAGGAGCTGCTTGACGGCTGCGTCGACCGGAAGTGGAAGACCGGGCTTGAGGCGTGTGGCGCTCAGAGACGCGGAGCATGGTCCGACAAGGAAGCCAAGCGAGCAAAGAAGGCGGGCCGCGAAGGCCAAGCCAAGGGAAGGGGAGGGAAGGGACGGGAGCTTGGCAGGGGACCAAGTGGCCAGAGAAGAGAAGATAGAGGAGGAGGAGGAGAAGGAGGAGAAGACGAGGACTGAACGAACGAAGAACTGATCGGTGGTGAGGAAGTCGACTCCACGGGAGGAGAAGAAGGAGGAGGGCAGCTGGAGATTGGAGCTGGCAGGCGGGTCGTGAATTTAGCAGCATTGCGACCATGTACGCATCCATGGGGATGCAGGCGTGTGCTCCTTCTGCGCTGAGCTCGTCCTGCGCCGCGTCGCTGCGGACACAGTGCGCAAATTCGTCGACAACCACGGCCGCGTCTTCTTCCTCCGCGAAGGTTAGAGTGAGCGCAGGCGGAACGGATGGGATGGGATGGGATGGGATTACAATCGTTGGCGCATTATGGTGATTCATTGGCGGATGATTCAGGCTCTCACCGGTTCGGTTGGCATCGTAGTTTCGCTCTGTGTTTCGCTAGTTTGCGGTCATGGCAATTCATGTCTATCGCCGTGCATGTGCCGCAGGTCTTGGGTGTAGATGTGAGCAGCAGTAAGTCGCTATGGAAAGGATCGTCGGTGCAAGACTCTCGCAGCAGCAGCAGCAGCAGCAGACGGTCTCGTGGCTGCTGTGCTTGCCAGGCCAGCTCTGGCTCCGAGAAGGTAGGCGAGGAAGTCCACATTCGTTCATTGGATTTCTCCAAGCTCGCCCTAATGTTTGTGGGACCGTAACGGGGGCTCGGTCTTTTCTGCTTCGATTTCTTCGCTCTGAAACCGCGCAATGTGACGTGGTTTCTCTTGTGATTGCACAATTACGCCAATATGTTATCCTGAAATCGGTTGGCAGACTAGGCGACTGTTTCTCGGCACCTACAGTCTGCATTGCCCTCCCACTTGGAGAATGTCTCTGACCAGTCCTTGTGTGTGAACGCGATGAATTCGTTTGTGTTTCTGTGAAGGCCTCGTTACTTCAAAAAATTGGGGATTCCGTGAAAAACTGTGTACTCTGTGCCGCACTCGCAGCAGCTGTGGCTTTGCCTCAATTTCCTGTACAGCCATCAGTCGCGACTGAGTCCTTGCCGGGCCCAGTGTATTCGGAGTTAGGAGTTCTAATCGCGGGTCCTCCTATCAAGGATGCAAACGCTTTGCTCAGATACGCCTTGCCTATATCGAACAAGCCCATCAAGGAGGTGCAGAGGACATTGGAAGGAATTACCGACGCTCTCAAGCTCCCAGGTGTCAAGGCCATCGATCCAGTCGAGCGGGTAAGTATTCGAATGCCCGGTTCGTAACGGGTGCCATGTTCCTCTTCTGTAAGCTGAACTAGTCTCTCATGTGGTGACGTCCTGTGCCCCGAGTGTTGGCAGATTCTTCTTCTTCTACCACTTCTTCAGCTTTATCCACAAACGAGACGAGAATCAACGATGAATGCGATGTTGGAGATTCCGCAAATGATTTCGCTGTGCAACGAAGCTGAAAAACTGATCTGAACGTGTTCTTACATGGTGAAGGTCGGTGGGTGCAGGATGTGAGGCAGGCCTCTCGTCTTATAAATCAGAACAAGGATCAAATTTTGGCCGATGTAGCAGAGTCCAAGAAGGAGGAAGCTCGAGCAGCCATGAGCAGACTGAGTGATGGCTTGCTTGAGTTCCAGTCTCTCCTGGAGCAAAAGGACAGGGCTGGAATCTTACCCAAACAGAAGGAGTGTTTAGAATATGTAGGGCAGTAAGTGCACTACTCTCTCCTGGCTTTCACCATCATTAACCACGCACGCTCAGTTTCTAGATGCTGTGTTGTAATTCGACATCGAATGTCTGTTTATGAGACGATATGGTGCGTGGGGTGATCGGATCAGGCGCCTTCCGCATAGCTGAACCTTGTGTTCTTTCTTCAACGTCGAAGCCCTTGTGCATATTAGCTGGTCAATGAGAGTGAGTGCCGCAAGCTCTTGAAAGGTACAAGATACAGCCATGTCTCGGTCAGTGATTGATTAGCAAACTAGAGATAACTTCCGGAATGTGGATCCGACGTTGGTCGGTGGAGCGGTACGTGGATACATGGATGGCGGATACGAATTCAAAGACTGTTTGGGTGGCTTTTGTTCAGAGTGGAAGAGGCCATGGTGGAGAAGTTCCCGTTCGAAGTGCCGGCTGAGTACGCCAAAATGCCTCTGTTGAAGGGTCGCGCAAAAGTGGAGATGAAAGTTAGAGTCAAGGACAATCCCAACCTGAAGAATGCAGTGTTCGAGATGACTGTGGATGGGTACAATGCGCCCGTCACGGCCGGCAACTTCATCGATTTGGTGGAGCGCCGGTTTTATGACAACATGGAGATTCAAAGAGGTGCTTCAGCTTCTCCCGTTTTCCAGTCCGCGCTCAGACATGTGCATATCAGAAGACTCTAAGGTTTGCCTTCTTTAGAAATTCGGGAAGCCTAGAATTTGAAAGGAGTGCAGCAGCAACGCAACTCAGCAAGCTTGAACCTTTGTCGACATGTGCTGTGCAGCGGACGGATTCGTTGTACAAACAGGAGATCCAGATGGTCCTGCGGAAGGATTTGTTGACCCAGGAACCGGAAAGCTTCGGACAATCCCTCTGGAAATCATGGTGGAAGGGGAGAAGGAGCCCATTTATGGTGGAACTCTTGAAGTCAGTATGCTATCTCTTCTTGAATTCAGAAGAAGAAGCGTCGTAAATATAATGGAATTAAAGAGTCCTGTAAACTGACAAATGCGTATGATCAACGCCATCAATTTCTATTGGGAAACTGGATCTGAAACTCTTGCTCTCACGTGTACAGGAACTGGGGCGTTTCAGGGAGCAAACTAAGCTACCATTTAATGCTTTCGGCACTCTCGCTATGGCCAGAGAGGTATGACCAGCGCCCTCTAGCTGCTGCTGCTATTCGTACATTCCTGGATTCCATCGGATATATGCTAGCTTTGCTTCGTGTGTGGATCTCTCCTAATCATAATAATGCCTTGTAGGAATTCGAGCCCGATTCGGCGTCGAGCCAGATATTCTGGCTACTGAAGGAGAGCGAGCTTACCCCTAGCAACGCAAACATTTTGGATGGAACATATTCAGTTTTTGGTTATGTCACAGACAATCCGGACTTTTTGGCGGACCTTAAAGTAGGGGATGTTATCGAGAGTATAAGAGTGACAAGTGGCCTAGACAACCTCGTCAACCCCAGCTACAAGGTCGGTGGGGCCTAATCTCCGTAATAATCCCATTGTACTTTAGAATTCTTGTCTTCTGGCAAATGCAGGAGAAGAATGTCAAATTAGCCTGCGATTGGTTGGCGGATAATGTGCAGATTGTTGAAAATTGAGGAGTAAAGATACACAGATTGTTTTATGCTGTCGAATGATTGATTACCGGTCAGTTACCGACGGTGGGGAAAGTGTTATGTGGGTTTGCAAAGTGTTGTTCCAATCGTTGTTTCGCATATCTTCCTCTATTCTTTCCCGTAATTTGTCAAAAAAAAACAGCTCGCAATTGCAAAGAAACATAGAGTAGATTGAAAAATATAATTCACTACAATGTCACAACCAGATAAAAATTGTGTCTACCTGGAGTTCTAAGGGAGGCGTTTCACCACACTACTTCTGGAAACAACCGCTGCTGCATAAGGCCTCTCTCGACATAATTAAATGATCTTTCATACTAACAGGAGACACCGCTTGTAACTTCAAAGTGTCATCTATTGTTAGAGAGGAATTTTCTTAGTCAATCAGCTACGTATTCTTCGCCATCTAACTTGAGTAATTGAAAACAGTTAAGTAAACTCCACAACAAAATGATTTGGAGTGCCAAGTCCTTATCGTCGATCTTCCCTTCGATAAAACCTTACAAGTCTCACCAAAATATCATAGTCACATACAATAGTTCACTGTTTGGAAATATGGATCATATCAACTTCGACGCGATGTTTCTGCACGGTAGCTCTACACAGTTGAAATATTAGTTACAGCTGATGATGAGTTCATGTTTACCTTACCTCTACGAACAGTAACTTCCCGTGAGTGTGCGATTGTACTAACTGGGCTAATCTATTCAAAAAGGCCACTTCCATCTAAATTTGTTTCAATCCACTTGATAATCTACACATCTCAATGCAATATCAACTATCATCACAGTTTCCATCTCCAGCGTTTCAGACAACCAAGCAGAAAAAGCCCTCACTTCCTTCCTCATATTTCTGCTGGAGTTGACGTAATTCACAACAATAAACACCAATTGATAACAAACTCCAACTGCAAGAACCAGGGCAGTTCAATTACACGAACCAGAGCAGAGGGCAAGTACCACCTCCCAAAGTAGAACATACTGCAGTCGCCACCGGCTTTACAAAACTTGCAAGTGATGTAGACATCAAACTGCATTCTCAGTGCAAGCATCAATAATCGACACTCGAATTGCGGTTGCTGATACAAGTGACACCCCTATGCTGTAAATAAAAAAATATCTGCCCAAATACCATGGCCTTTACTGATAAATGTGACTGATAACCTGATGGGACGACAACACAGCAGAGTGCACCGAAGTCTTCTCATAGCGCAGAGAAAACAAAGCAGCTAGAGTGAGAAACTCCTAGCGTAGATACAACAAACTTACTCATCCGGCAGTTGGTTCTGATTTCCTATATGCGAAGTCATTGTCATAGATTAGAAGGGCTGCTGTCTTGATACAGCACGATGGAGCCCTGCATAAAATCGTTCTTTACAAGAAAGCACCTGGGTAGTGAACACCCACCTTTGAAACAAACAGGCTTTATACAGAACCATTCCCTCGATCATTCGTTTGTCTGCTTGTAGTCCAGGAATGGATGAATGCTTCTAAATGGAGCGGCGGGATGATGCACTTTGAGGTTAAAATCGGAGCATAGCTCAAACTGAAAACAGATGAACTAAATCAGCCCAAGCTGAAATACCGGCTTCGAGGACTGGTTCCTCCACCGCTCAGCTCACTTAGAGAAGCTCCACTAGAAGTAGGGAGCCCAGCTGGCACTTGATATTCGGTGAGCATGATGTGGGAGCAAGCTTTTCCCAACAACTCAAACACGCCACAAGGAAAATTGTAACTAGCCCACGGCCTATAAGGAGGGACTACAGCATGCTGAACCCAATAGCAAGGTTTATCTGTTTGAAGGGGGAAGCAACCCCGCTGTTTTTCAAGTTGTCCATAGGTTATGGATCAGCTTGGTTATATGTGCTTGGTACTACTACAAACGCTAATAATCTCTCACATTGATACAAGATGCTAAGACCGTTGGATTTTCATATGAAACCTATTGTTGGATAGTTAGGTCTTGTTTGGAGATGTAAAGAGAGCCTGTCGACTCTCCAGGTTCCATAACAAATTGTTCACTAAAACTGCCCATACGTCGCTTTTGAGATTCCAAAGCAGGGTTAGTTAAAATGCCCTCGACTTGCACTCCATCTCCTGTTGGGACAAAGTGTGTTCCAACGACAAAGAAGCCTGCTACGCGTATCATGATTCCACGTTTGGAATAGGCACAACAAGACAAATTTTCAATTACGTGCACCAATCTCTCCTCAGGTCGCTCCCCTGCTAGCATGTTGCGAATTTCTGTGAGGGTATCAAAAATGTCATCTCCACTTACCACCTGATTTGCAAAACTGCGATCACATAAAGCGAAGGGTACAACATCAAATTCCTGGGATGGGTACGTGACACGAATGAAAGCCAAACGACAACATAACTTAAAGAGAACTCAGCCAGAAAAAGTGCCACGCACAGAGGGCTCCAACAACAGAAACGTGCAAATATACTCTACCGGGTTCAGATATGTCATAAGAAACTCAGCGTAGCGTAGGCAGCCATACGTTTGACATACTAGGGCAGGTTCACAAAGAACTTACGACAAACAGGAGTTGGGCCGATAAATGGACTTCATGTGTTGCCACATCTTATCTGGGCCGTTGAATAGCATGTAGTAGTGAACAGTAAGCATCTGCAACAATCACAATGAAGGGTTTTAAAGACTTGTGATTTCGTCTCATGGGCTGACTACTAGATGAGGCCTCTGCATGTATGACAAGACTTTCTCAACGTACATCACTCATGTGAGCCACAAATTACAGCCTCCGAAGACCAGGCCTGATAAACGACGAACTGCTGACCGCAGCATAAGTGATAACTATAAAAAAGCCTCGAACCATAGGAAGTTTTGAATAAAGGTTGAAAAGCTTACATCTGCAAGGTCTTTGAGTCGCTCAGTAGGATCAAACACGCTATGTACAAATCCTGCTAGGTCGACTTGCTCATTCTCGTATTTCTGAATAAATGGATGAGAAAGCAACTGCAGGATACGACAGAAGTGCGGATGTGAGATGATACGAAAACAGAGAACCTAAAGCGTACACTGAGAGCTACAGATAATAAAAGAGACAGATGAGTAAACAAAACTTGCCCCTTCACTGGACTAGAAACCAAAATGAAGTGCTTCTGTGACCCATGATGTGTCTTTCAGGTTGAAATTACAAACAAGTACTAGGCAAGACCATGGTGAGAAACCAATCTACGCATAAGCCTGGAAATTACCTGTTCTGCTGTAGGCCTGGCTTCAGCTTCTTTAGCCAGACAGGCATCTACAAATGACCTGAATTCCCAGGAAAACCGATCCGCCGGTGGAGAAGGAGACGGGTCATACATTACCTGCAACCATCATGAAGTGAGGAGGTTTTATTACTGCAAGATATCGCAACTCTACATTTAGCTAGCATAGGAAACAAAACAAATTAAAAACATATTTGCACCGAAGAGATAACCAGAAGAAATCAGTTGCAAGATATTACAAAGAAGATTAGAGGTAAAGAGAAACTGCCAAGATCCTTCAATATTCGGTCACCCTTCCTAACACCAAGGCACTAAGCGTCGCTCCTTTGTACATGCGTGTCCAAAAGAGCCTGGATGAATACAGTAACTTACTTGGAGCATGAGATTTACAGGTCCTTTGTTGGCATTGTATGGAAATTCACCAGTTCCACACTCAAGTAAAGCTAGCCCCAGACTCCAAATATCAGCTGGATAAGAGTAGCATTCATTATTGATTCTTTCAGGAGACATATAAGTAACTGTACCCACAAATGTCGCACACTGCAGACAAAATGCGATTGATCAGTCTTACATGCAGCACTTAACATCGTAATTCCATCGATTCACGAGGAGAAAGCGTTTTACTGTGTCCACAGGAGGTGACAGGAGCACTTACCATGGCAATGGAGTTGTCAAGGCCTGCGCTAATACCAAAATCGGTAATCTTGGGCTCCCCGTTGAGATTGATGAGAAGGTTCGCTGGCTTTATGTCCCTATGGACTAAATGCCTCTCTGCGTGCAAGAATTGCAACCCCTTTCATTCACCCCAAAGTACACCAAATCAGCCACATTTGACAGTATGGAGGCAACAAATTTCAGGGCCTGCTAAGATAATACAAGGAGAAACAAGGTTTTGCGTCGAAAGTCAGAAGTAAGATATGAATCAACTGGGTGATGTCAATCAAAGATCACTTTTCCAACAAGCTTGCAGGAAGTTACAACTCCTTTTCTGAGGTGCAATAATTTAAAAGGTGTGATAATGCAGAAAAACGTAAAGGGATAACCCATGTACCCTCCAGAAAGCACAAGAATGTCTTATGGTTGTCATACATGTAGTACTTTCCGCGTTATGACAGACAGTATCGGCTCGGGGATGAACTTTTTGGCCCTCACAATATCTGCCAAGGAGCCTCCATCCATGTACTCCAAGGCAATGCTTATTTGTCCGCTATCGGGAGAGTAAAAGGCCCCATAGAACTCTACAAGTCCTTTTATCCTCGGAGCTTCACATAGTGTTCGGATTTCGTTCAATAACTGCTGGCGCTTTTCCTGAATTCAAAAATGACTGAACATTAAACTCCCAATTGTTTCCAATTATCCGACAACCATAATTCCTCCCAGAAAATACAGTACTGACTCAGGACAGGCATCAGGCTCCTAATCCATGCATTACAGACATTCAGAGCCTAAGACTCGAAAATAATCCACAACCAGTATCAGCGCAATGACTTCAAAACTATCACTAGGCAGTGATTCAAAGTTCCTAGACTAAAAGACAATTGGATTACATGCTCCATTCTCTCGAACTTTGATCACATTCGTGGACTCTTGTCCAACAATCTTAAAAGACCCTGGGAGCCAAATGTGCATCTATCTCAAAAGCATCTTTTTCTACACTGACCTTGAGAGACATGGTGGACAATTAATCTGACAAAATTACATGAAGCTCGCCCGCTGTGTACAATTGCGAGCAAAGGTAATACAAACTCTACTCTACCTTCTCGAAGACATTGATTTTCTTCAAGGCCAGTATTCGATGTGTTGGTATGTGAATGGCTTTCCGCACAACACTACTGGCACCCCAACCAATTGCTCCGAATGCACACATTTCATGTGAAGCACACTGATAAGTTTTCTCTCTCGCTCCTTCACCATCCTTGTCATCCATGGATAAAGAAGACCTCTTTTGTAAACCGAGCTCATTGATATTGTACTCTGCACAAGATCTACTCAGTAGGTTCAAGCAGCCTGCTTCCGTAACCTGTACACATAAGAAGGGAGTAAGATAACCTCAAAGCATCCAAAAATTTTCTGAGGTGACATCATTTCTCCCGAAAAGTTTTTTTTTAAGGTGCTCTGCTTATGATATATGGACCCAGCACTAAGCAGGTCACAACCTAGTGCCACTCAAGAACACAGTTTGCTCTTTCCGTGTTAGATAAAAGACACGTTATACGAGAACACGCATCCGGCCGAATTTCGATGGCACGGGTCAACTGGTGGGAAGCAGAAAAGGTGCACACTTCCCGGGATACAATTCTGCTCAGCAATCTCAACCAAGTGGCAAACCTCAAGTTTCCCCGGTAGGCTGGGTTTCAAGTTCTAAAAGTAGGATGATTGACGGCATAGATTTCACATTGAACTTCAAGGGAAATTCACTAACCAATGGGTACGGAAAATTTTATAAAAAAAACTGGAAGCAGGAGGCAGTTGAGAGAGCAATGCATAACATCAAAGTTGAGAACTCTGATTTGCAAAATCGCTGGCATTATGCTCGACTACGAGTTCCGTGAAAGGTCGTAAACAGGTGCGATCATCATTTGCGTTGCAGCCTTGGAAACTAGATCCAGAACTTGTACTCGGCTGAGATAACTTTGAATCAGAGCCGGAGGAAAATTCAGACCAATGAAGGTATCATGGAATTGGCCCTGTCGGCAGACGACATCCAGTAACGACCCGAAGGCATCGGACGAAGTAATCTGCGGTGAGTTTTTATGGAGGGGAAAACCACGAAACGGTACAATTAACCTCACCTTGTAAGAAGCAGAACAATCGATGGATAAGTCGGGTCTCAGACTCTGATTCATGTCCAATAACGGCGACAGCTTCTTCTTCAGTTGTTCCAAGCCCGCCATGACTGCGCCTGACTCTGACCCAAACGTGACAAAAAGATCCTAGGGAGGTTCAATCACGCTCGACTAACCTGCCTCACTGTCTCCTACCTTGCGTCCTCACCCTCTCTCGTACATTTCCCACACCCAACCCTACGCAGCCCAGTCAGGAAAGCAAACCCACATTCTCTATGCTCCTCTTCCTCGTCCTGCTCAAACTTCCTTTCCCATGTCTGCCACATCGCTCGGCCTCTCCATCGGCCCCCACGCCCGCAACCCCTGCCCGGCGTCCCTGATAGTCCTGTACCGAATTATGTCGCCTCGGGATGCAGAATTCAAGAAGAGCAGGGACGAAGCAGGGGCAGGAGAGAGTGCTGATGGGATGCGAAGCAAGGAACTAGTACTAGACGTAAGTCGTGCGAAGGCAGGGATTAGAACGGAGCAGAAATCCTCTGCGGCCCGCGGCAAAAGTAAGTCGCGAAGCAGCAGAAGGGGTAAAGCGAGTAAATGAGGCGGTGAGATGGGGCGGGCGAAGAAAGGGGCGTGCGTGCCTGCGTGCTGCGTGCGTGTAAGCAAGGCCAAGAGGGACTGGGACTGGTGCTGCGAACAAATAGAAGCCCAAGTAGGCGACAGAGCACCAGTCTGATGATGTAGTAGTGGCAGCAGCAGCAGCAGCCGCAGCGCCAGTCCAGGTACTGTAGTCGTAGTAGCAAGCGTTGGGTTCGGCCGGTGCCTGCCGGGGATCTGGAACAGAGCACCGGGCTATGGAGTTGAAAGCCCAACAAAGAAGAGTGTCCGCGGAGAGTGAACGAGGGCCGCGGGTGTCAGACTGGTCCGTCCGTGCTGCGAGCGGAGGACGCTCTGCAAACGACCGAGCACGCAATCAGGGCAGGCCCGGGTCGGTGGCTCGGCCGGGCTCGGGCTCGCCAGGCCTATTACAAGGCAAGGCAAGGCAAGGCAAGGCAAGAAGATGAGCAAGGACGGTAGGCGCAAATGGGCTCTGGAATGGAATATCGGTATTTCGGGGGTTCAGCACAACAGGAGGAAAATACTTGGGCTCGGGCCCAAAAGATGGACAGCGTCATCTCCCATCCTTTCTTCTCCTTATCCACTTTCGAAAAGTCAGTCGCGGGGGCTGTGAGCATCGAAAATCATTTACGAGCCCGGCGGCCACTTCACTTTCGTGCGCTTGGGCCTTTGGCTTGGCTTGGCTTGGCTTTTGCTCTACTCGTCCCTTCCCCCATCCTTTTCGTCCCTAAACCCGGGCCAGATTCGTCTCGGAGGAAAAGTTGCGGGGCTGACTGCCAGCAACACGCGCCACAATTCTCTGCACTGCGCTCTCGTCCCGGACTCGCGCAATTATTGCCAGTAATACTGTCATTCACATGATCGAGGAAAGAGACACCTTCCTAACCCACGCAAACTCATGCATCTGGCTCGAGAGGCGCACATCGGGCATCAAAATCTGTCAACGAACCAATCAATCCAGGAACAGCAGAGAGAGAGAGAGAGAGAGAGAGAGAGAGGAGAAGAAGAAGAAGCAGAAGCAGAAAAGATGAACTTGTGTTCCCCGGTCGGTTATCGGAGCGGTGCCGATGCAAAGAAGGCGTTATTTCCTCTTCTTGCGTAGATGACGGGACCGGCAGTCCGATGTGTCACTTCATGTTTGGTTTGGGGCGGAACCTGCGCCCTTCTTTTACCCGTCACCAAAGATTTCTTTTCCGACTCTTGTACTGGCCATGGAGAGCTTGGCCGGTGGTACGAGGTCACAAAGTTCCTCGTACAACTCTGTAGCCCGCAGAAAATGGGTCCTACAAACCAGCAGGTCCCCCAGCCCGCTCCTGCGGGGGGCTGGTATCTGGGACTGCCTGCCTGCCTGCCTGCCTGCCTGCCTGGGAGGTCCTCTGTCACCCTACGCCCTACGCTTTGCTTCTTTTGTTTTCGTTCGCCTGACGGCCTGGTCTGGACCGGACCGGACTGGAGTCACTGGACTGCCAATCTGCCCGTCCTACACCCTGTGATTAGATCTAACTATGGTTACGAACCAGCTCGCAATCCACATGCTTCCATGTGACTCTTCAATGTGAACTTAAATCTTCTTCGTATTCTCTGAAAATCTTCTTCTCTTGAATTGGCTATGTCGTTATACGATATTCGATATGGCGCGGAGGGGAATGAAGAATTCCCTCTTCTATACTGCGGTCTATTGTCATCATGTGTGTTGTTATGTGAGGATTAGGAAAATTAATCTCCCATCAACTATATTGTGTCCAATTGTATCGTTTTCACCAAGTAATCATAATTTGAGTGGACGTTTTGCTATTTTAATGTTGATTTGGATCAGAAGGTTTTGTTCAATTCACCGATATCATACACCAGTGTCAGACATAGATGTAACTATTACATGACAAAATTCAATAGATGGATAAATAGACATTGACCTGCCTATCATAGTTACTGAATTTATTCTCACATTATTTGAGAATAATGTGATGAAAATTCTTTTACAAAATGGAACCAAGTACATTATTACTGGCTTTTTTTTCATGCCTGCTTGTTTTTTTTGAGTTTTGTATCTTCAAATGCTAAGTTGGTTTGTAGATACTTCAAACTAATTGATTCAAATATCTCATGCTGTGATGCTATTGGGTCATATCATGGTTAACATTGGGCACTACCCCGGAGACATTTGGTTTTCTTAGATAACAAATTCTATGAAAAGCACTCAAATCATCAGTCAACTCTTGGATGAAATATGACGTTGCAGTAGCTCCTTAAAGAGACACTTGAATACTCTAGTAGAGTCCTTACGTACGTGGTGATGATTTAACTAGACTCCCGGGTGTACATGCTGCTCGATGTGGAATGGAACAACATATTCCCATGTCAAGTGAAAAAAAGTATAAGTTTCTACTAGTTCATCTATATTTATATATGATAGAATTGTTTGTCAGATTATGGAGATTTTAAAGATGAGCTAGAAAGAGATAGGAAATTATTTTATAAGAAAGTTAGTTGTTCTTGGCTACTTGTGTGAAGAATAACATGTGCACCAGTTTCATTTTCCTAAATTCCAAGTCACGAATGACGTTTTACCTCATCTATTGTTGCAAGAAAAATTGAAGAGAGAATGTCAAATTAATAGGAGAAGTATAGAATCTCAGATTTTCACATCATATATTCTATACAGTAGATTAATTCTGAAGCTAAGACTTACAGAAGGTATTTATCTTTCACTTTAATATCTATGTCCTCGTTGATGTGGTTGGATATACTATTTTGTACATGTAAGTTTCTGTCATATAAGAGTAAGATCTAAAGGCAAAAGTATTTGAAATAGCTGAATTCCGCGTAAATGACAATATCAAATTAGTCATGAGTTGTATCCAATAGATTTATTCATTTACAAAATTATAGCCTTAAAAAATGAAATATCAAATGACATCATAAGACTATTGCAAACTTAATCCTACCATTTTTTGCTCGTAGATTCTATTTACTAGTGTAACGATACACTTGCATAAATCGACGAAGTCAGAAAACCACATTGTCTTAGTTTAGTTTTAGTATCATGAATTTATTCTTGTTTGTTCAAAAATACCAAAAGAATATTGTATTGGTAGAGAAATGACTATTAAAAAAAGGTCAGAACTTTGACTCTTATCAAAGATATGAAAATAGCAAAGAGCAATAAAGTTTAAAGATTTGATGTCAATTATGGTTGGATTTCTATTAGATTCATAGATATCTAACGAATTTTTGTAATATGATATGATTTTTTAATAGATAGGATTTCTAAAATTGAAGTGTTTTTTTAGATTATATGCTTATATATATAGATAAAGTTAAAACCTTCACTTTACTCCATTTTCATCCATAAAGTGAACAGAATAATTTGTTCTGAATTTCAAAAATACCATTAAAAGATGATAAAATTTTAATATCAAAAATAAATAAATAAAATTTTAAATTTAGTGTTATAGATATTATAAAGTGTAAAATTTTCAAAAAAATATCTAGGGCTTCTCCAAGTGTGTTATATGTCTTTTATGTAAATCATAGTAATTTTTTAATCAATTTTTTTATTTAAAATAATTTTAACTCTGGAAAAAAAAGCAGCAATGAAGCTTTAAAGATATTTATTAATTTATTTTAATATAATATTAATATTATTTTTTTCAAGTTATATAAAATTGTGATTGTTTTTTATTACATACTTGTATATCAATATAACTTATAGACTAAGTTTTTGATTATAATTACATTGACTTGAAACTCTACAGTTAAAGCATATTCATGTTGAAATTACATTTATTGCTCAATGAGTGTGATTGAAAATCATGTGGTGAATCTTATCATCCTCGAATTTTAGAAAATGTCGAATATAATGTAAAGAAATATATACATGCAATCGGTTGAGTAGAATTACAATATTCTGTGATATATAATCATGTCAATATTATTCATTGAATAAAAAAAGTTCAAACATTCATACATCATGTATTTTATATCTTTCCGTTTTTTTGAAAGAGTTAGAAAAAATAAGAGTTTGAATAGTACTTTGAAAAAAATATATATTTTGAATTAAAATAAATTTACAATTTTTTTAGAATTTAAAAATTCTACACAGCTCAATAATATATATTTTTAAAAAGGAGCCCAAAATATATTACATAATTCATCCTTTCGGGCTATGTCCACACTAACACAAAAGATTCAATTATAAAAATTTCATTTTTTTAAAAAATAGCCGACGACTAGCTCTCACATACAGCAACAGATTAAAATCAATTTAGTACTTACTTGAGTTCATAAAAAATGAATTAATCACTAAAAATGCTACAATTGTGATAAAAAAATGAAAATTTTCAACAAAAAAATCTAAAAAGATTTTTTTCTAAATATAGATATTTTTTTATAATTCAAATATTATAATATAAAATTAATAAAGAAAATTTTCTTTTATTAAGTTAGAGTGAAATTTTATTAAATTATAATTTATCTGATAAAATTTCTTCTGAATTATAGTATAAGGATTTCAATAAAATTAAGCAAAAATTTTAGTAATTATGGAAATAGAATATTTTCCCATAAATTGAAAAAAATTATTCACATTTCATTCAATTTAATGGTAGCATGTTAGAATGGTTTCACTTTAGTAATCAATCAATCTTATTCTATTTATCTTATAAGCTTTTAAGTTTATACTTTTAAAAGATGTTTTTTGAACATTGCTTGTTTGATGATATAAATATATTCACAAATGAATATATGAATCAGAGAAAATTTTGCACTTAATAAAGTATGTATTGAAGCTGTTTTTTTAAGTCTATAACAATGTTGGTAGATGTAGACAGCAATAGATGGAATTGATTTATAGCTCTTCAAAATTCAATCGTTAAATAATATAATATACTAAGGTGCATATAATAAAAAGTAATGTCCGTAGATACACAGAGTATTTGCAACATAGATTAAGTTTTAGCTCAACTATTATCTTTCTTTGATGCTATGTTGATGAGCATAATTATTTTGTGAAACTTTTAAGAATTTGTCATTAGTTTATGTGAACCTTTTTCTACCTAAGGTCTTGTATTGACAGATAACTACTGCCCATGATGCATGGATATAAAAAGATTATTGTTGTATTATTATTGTGTATTATGATACATGTATTTGATGTTTGATGTGTTAATAATATATGTGCACAAAAAAATTCATATCAAATGCAACCACAGATTAGGCCAATTGGATTGTTGGATGCAGCGAGAATATTTAATTCTGCATAACATTCAAGTCAATGATGGACAAATCGTTTCTTCGAGATATTTTTAGTTTGTGCAATATGAATTGCAGAGTGTTACTCATTGTGAATAGTATTTTGGATATAATCACAAGATCAGGTTATATATATGGTGAAGATTCACACATAGAAGTAATGAATCTCGTGTGTTAATTAAGACTGGATTTTCCAAAATTGATCCTTATTATATCGTATAATTTTAAATGCATAGAATGAGGAAGTGTCGTTGAAAAGAAGAATTCAAGGAGAACCTACTTGAGCTCAAGTCTAATATGATATTTTCTATTATTCTAATGAAAACATTGGAGGCTTGTATTTTTCAAGTTACTACAAAGAGTAATTAGTGGGGTTTGAAAGCAATGCTTAGCCAAATGATTATATTTAAAAAATGTTAAGACTTTCGTGCAACTTGTTTTGACAAGTGAAGGCAAAGTATGATTCTTATGAAAAAGAAAATTTAAAATGTACGTTATCTTAACACATTTCAAATATTAAGTATCTGGAAAAGCTCATTCTCTCATCATATGTAATCAACCACTGCATTGATAGGTCAAAGTAGACGAGACAATAAAAAAATTTGAACCATAGATGACCTCATATCTTACATATATGTGATTTTATGGGTGTGCACACACCTGATAAATTATAGTGGAAATCAAAATTTATGTACAAGTCAAGTTGAAAGACTGAAGCTGA